TCATCGTTTTAGTAAGAAGGTACCCCCCTTATGATTTTTTTGGAAAACTTTGAAAGGTCATAACTTTTTTTCTATTATAGATAGAAAGCTGAATTTTTCAGCCATTTTTATTCCAGTAGAGGACTACAATCCCTGAAAATTTCATCTCGCTTGGACTTATAGTTCCTGAGATAAAATCGTGTTAAGCAATTGGGGTGATTTATCAATTTTTCAATTTTTCTGAGTGTCTTTTTTCATAGATCTTGGCTTCAAATCTGAGAATAATTTAGTTTATGGAGTTCAGGGTATCACGAAGGACCAGTAGGACACAAAATCTCAACAAAAAAAAAATTGAAATTTCATCGTTTTAGTAAGAAGGTACCCCCCTTATGATATTTTTGGAAAACTTTGAAAGGTCATAACGTTTTTTGTATTATAGATAGAAAGCTGAATCTTTCACTGAATTTTATCCCTTTCAAAGGACTACAATTCCTGAAAATTTCATCTCGCTTGGACTTATAGTTCCTGAGATAAAATCGTGTTAAGCAATTGGGGTGATTTATCAATTTTTCAATTTTTCTGAGTGTCTTTTTTCATAGATCTTGGCTTCAAATCTGAGAATAATTTAGTTTATGGAGTTCAGGGTATCACGAAGGACCAGTAGGACACAAAATCTCAACAAAAAAAAAATTGAAATTTCATCGTTTTAGTAAGAAGGTACCCCCCTTATGATATTTTTGGAAAACTTTGAAAGGTCATAACGTTTTTTGTATTATAGATAGAAAGCTGAATCTTTCACTGAATTTTATCCCTTTCAAAGGACTACAATTCCTGAAAATTTCATCTCGCTTGGACTTATAGTTCCTGAGATAAAATCGTGTTAAGCAATTGGGGTGATTTATCAATTTTTCAATTTTTCTGAGTGTCTTTTTTCATAGATCTTGGCTTCAAATCTGAGAATAATTTAGTTTATGGAGTTCAGGGTATCACGAAGGACCAGTAGGACACAAAATCTCGACAAAAAAAAATTTGAAATTTCATCGTTTTAGTAAGAAGGTACCCCCCTTATGATTTTTTTGGAAAACTTTGAAAGGTCATAACTTTTTTTCTATTATAGATAGAAAGCTGAATTTTTCAGCGATTTTTATTCCAGTAGAGGACTACAATCCCTGAAAATTTCATCTCGCTTGGACTTATAGTTCCTGAGATAAAATCGTGTTAAGCAATTGGGGTGATTTATCAATTTTTCAATTTTTCTGAGTGTCTTTTTTCATAGATCTTGGCTTCAAATCTGAGAATAATTTAGTTTATGGAGTTCAGGGTATCACGAAGGACCAGTAGGACACAAAATCTCAACAAAAAAAAATTTGAAATTTCATCGTTTTAGTAAGAAGGTACCCCCCTTATGATTTTTTTGGAAAACTTTGAAAGGTCATAACTTTTTTTCTATTATAGATAGAAAGCTGAATTTTTCAGCGATTTTTATTCCAGTAGTGGACTACAATCCCTGAAAATTTCATCTCGCTTGGACTTATAGTTCCTGAGATAAAATCGCGTTAAGCAATTGGGGTGATTTATCAATTTTTCAATTTTTCTGAGTGTCTTTTTTCATAGATCTTGGCTTCAATCTGAGAATAATTTAGTTTATGGAGTTCAGGGTATCACGAAGGACCAGTAGGACACAAAATCTCGACAAAAAAAAATTGAAATTTCATCGTTTTAGTAAGAAGGTACCCCCCTTATGATATTTTTGGAAAACTTTGAAAGGTCATAACGTTTTTTGTATTATAGATAGAAAGCTGAATCTTTCACTGAATTTTATCCCTTTCAAAGGACTACAATCCCTGAAAATTTCATCTCGCTTGGACTTATAGTTCCTGAGATAAAATCGTGTTAAGCAATTGGGGTGATTTATCAATTTTTCAATTTTTCTGAGTGTCTTTTTTCATAGATCTTGGCTTCAAATCTGAGAATAATTTAGTTTATGGAGTTCAGGGTATCACGAAGGACCAGTAGGACACAAAATCTCAACAAAAAAAAAATTGAAATTTCATCGTTTTAGTAAGAAGGTACCCCCCTTATGATATTTTTGGAAAACTTTGAAAGGTCATAACGTTTTTTGTATTATAGATAGAAAGCTGAATCTTTCACTGAATTTTATCCCTTTCAAAGGACTACAATTCCTGAAAATTTCATCTCGCTTGGACTTATAGTTCCTGAGATAAAATCGTGTTAAGCAATTGGGGTGATTTATCAATTTTTCAATTTTTCTGAGTGTCTTTTTTCATAGATCTCGGCTTCAAATCTGAGAATAATTTAGTTTATGGAGTTCAGGGTATCACGAAGGACCATTAGGACACAAAATCTCGACAAAAAAAAATTTGAAATTTCATCGTTTTAGTAAGAAGGTACCCCCCTTATGATTTTTTTGGAAAACTTTGAAAGGTCATAACTTTTTTTCTATTATAGATAGAAAGCTGAATTTTTCAGCGATTTTTATTCCAGTAGAGGACTACAATCCCTGAAAATTTCAGCTCATTTGCAAAAAATTATAATACTTTCAAATTTAGATTGTTTCTCGAATATCAATAGTTTTCGAAATAATTAATGAAATAATTTTAAACGTTTTTTAGAAATCACCTTGTATTTCATAAACTAAAAGGAATTTGGCAACACTGTAAACGAGTCTTAAATGGGCATCAAACAAGGCAACTTTTTTCTAATTTAACCGACCCTGTAGCTCTTACCGCTTCGGATATAGCAATAGTGGTATCACTTAAAATATACACCCTGTAGATAGAAAGCTGAATTTTTCAGCGATTTTTATTCTAGTAGAGGACTACAGTCCCTGAAAATTTCATCTCGCTTGGACTTATAGTTCCTGAGATAAAATCGTGTTAAGTAATTTGGGGTGATTTATCAATTTTTCAATTTTTCTGAATGCCTTTTTCCATAGATTTTGGCTTCAAATCTGAGAATAATTTAGTGTATGGAGTTTGGGGGATCCCAAATGACCATTAGGACACAAAATCTCGACAAAAATTTTGTTTGAAATTTCATAGTTTTAGCAAGAGGGTTATGTTTTAGATTTTGAAAAACTTTGAAAGTTCATAACTTTTTTTCTATTATAGATAGAAAGCTGAAATTTTCAGCGATTTTTATTCCAGTAGAGGTCTACAATCCCTGAAAATTTCAACTCATTTGAACTTAAAGTTCCTGAGATAAAATCGTGTTAAGCAATTTGGGGTGATTTATTGGTGTATTATTAACTTATTCTTCAATGGTTTTATCAACAGTCAGATTAATAGTTACTGTTATTTTTCATTAGGTTTAGGACACGAACATTAAGCGAGAGCAGTTTTGGATCTCCAGAACCGGCGTCAGCTTCTCCTCCCTGTGAAAATAGTGATATTCACTCCTTAGTGGAAAAAGAAGCCAATTTAGTACTAAAAACAATACGAGACAGTAAGCTATTCCATGATGATTTATTAGATTTTGAGACTTTGAGTCTAGTGTCTAATGACGAAGACTCCGAACACAATTCTGGTAATTCAATGAACTACAGAACATATCAAAGGAGTTGGAGTTCGAAAAAAACACAAGACTTGCCTGTGATTTCCGTTGAACCAAATGGGCATTGTGCTGTTGAGGAAAAAACTCAAATTCCTGATTCTGAATCAAACTCTGATGAAGAAAATTTGAATGAAAAACTTTTGGCAAAGCCCAAAATTGTTAAGCCATCTAGCTTAGAGGTAATTGAAAATGTTGAAATTGTAGAGGAACCAAAAGGCATTCGAGGCAGACGGAAACCTTTGTATTCAAAATCAAACTTGAATAATAAAGTGTCTCCGAAAACGATCAAACCGGCCAAAAATATGGCTTCAAATTTGGTCAAAAATATCACTTCTAGTTTAAAATCAGGCGCAGCATTGAATGCTCGTGATAAATGTACGTCCATAACAAAGCCAGCTGTCAAATCTAGCGGCTATGGTTTTAATAGAAGTAATAATAATAGTGTTACCCCGAATAGAAGTCCAAAACATACAGCCAAAAGTAGTCCGCCATTGGAAAGGCAAGGCACATTTACCAAGGACGATTGTCCAGCTAATGCCATTTCTAAAACAACAACAACAACAAGGTAAGATCTTACTTTTTGGATTTTTTGTTGACAACAATGATATAAGTATTTGTTGTTTTAGATTGCCAACTCCATCGTCCAAAATTCCGTCTTTTGCCAGACAAATCGCCCGAGCAGTTACAAGCAAAATTCCTACAAACAACAACGCAACACCCAGCAAGTTGCCATCCAAATCTTCAAGTGCAGATAGAACTAGTAAAATTTCCAGAATATACAACAGGTAATGTTTTATTATAACAAACCTTTTGCAATGTTTGAATCTGGTTTGTAGATCTACAAGTGCTGACAGTAGAGAGCCATCCAGCAAGAAAATACAACCGTCTTCTTCCACCCAAAGCTTAAAAAACGAATCGAAAATACCAAACGGTGCTTTAAAAAAATCGGGCATCCCGAGCCCAGCTCAAAGGTCCCACAGTAACGTTAGCGTTTCCTCAAATGGTAGTGCCAAAAAACAAGTAACCAGTAAAATTGCCAGTTTATGGAAAAAAGTCGAAGAGAGCAAATCCAAACAACCACCTAAACCAGGTAATAATATTGTCTTTTTTTTTGTGTGGAAAATTTCATATTTTTTTTTTTTAGACAAAAGAGTTTGGATTCAAAGTGAAAAGGAACCCGAGCCTCCAAAGCTGATAAGAAGAGACACTTTTGAGAATAAAGATGGCAGCGGGGCTTGTGCTCTGGAACAAGGTATTCCGTCTTAGGTGGCTAAATAACACTGAACCAAACAAAACAAATATTTGTTCTTTTATGTGGCTTTAAACCATTATTATTATTATTAAACTATTAGATTAGTAATTTTTAAGGTTAGTTTTATGAAATGCTATTGGTTACTATTAATTGGTTCCAGAAAAAAAAATGACGTGGCGTTGAAGAGATTGATTTATATATTTTTGTAGAATGTTTTTTAGTTAAGGCATTGATTGTCAAGATTAAAATTCCTTCCAACTTTACTGAAAATTGAAAATAGACAAAAATATAAAATTTGTGAGAAAAAGATCTTAAATTATACAGAATCACTCTAATTCTAACAAAAATCACCTCACGTCATTTTTTTCATTCGGACCAACTTCATTTTAGTTAGGTATTACATTTCAAATTGAGTGCAATTTTAATTTTTACATTCAAAAATCGTTTTATTTCATTGTAGGTATTTATTTATCATTTATCCAGTCTGAAAGTATATCACAGGTTTCATGCTCGCTTTCATTTTATTTATTTTCGTGCATTAAAATCCCATTTATTCTAGTCTTCATAAATGTGTAATGTAGCTTCGAAGTGAGATTTTTAATGAAACAAGATTTTGGAGTTGGTTCAAGTGTCTTGACTATGCGCAAGTTTATAGAAGAAGCAACTTACCCCAAATATCTTGTTAATTTAAAAATCGCTTTGTATTTTATAAAGACTGTATAGTATTTGTTTTTTTTTTCGTGATATTATTTAGGTTCTATTCTTATTATCTATCTGTGTTTCCTTTTGTATATATGAATTATTTTAGAAAAATAATGTCAAATATATGAACACATTAGTAGTTTTATATAATAAACAGTTTATATATTTAAAAAAAAAAATGTAAATGTTTCCGTTTTGTTAAATGTTATAAATTAATGTACTTATGGACCTAGTTGGCTCTTGAATTTACATGAATAAAATCCAAGATTTGCTTTTACGTACAAGTGTTTTATTTAGTTAACGGGTTCTATAATACATAGATAAATAATAATTAAATAAACTATACATAATTAGCAATAACATTTTATATTTCTTAAATGTAAATTATACATGGGTTATGGATTGATGAGGATTATGTTTTCAGAATAAGTGAGGTCTATGGGAGGGGAGGTTTGAATGTCATATCCCATTTGATATAAATAAATACACATAACTTCAGTTACCTTAACCAACATATTTTATCTTACTTTGCAGATAACTGTTTCAGTTGCTTAAGCACAGTTTCAAGTAACTTTTTCTTGTCTCTCTCATTCTTATTCAACACTGTAAAGATGTTCTTCTTGTCTCCTTCCTTCAACCTAAAAAAAACATCAACAAATTAACATGTTTTACCACTATATTTAATTTACTTACTTCTCAAGTAGTATAATGGCAATTTCAGGTCTAACATTTTTATACCGACTATTATCTTGAGCGTAATCGTGGAAATATGTGGGCCAATCCCACGAAATAAGTAAATCCAAAATTTCTCGTAACTTGACAAAATATTTCAATAGTTCGTCTTGTTGGAGGCCTTTCACAGGCTCAGAAGCGGCAAATACTGTAGTGACAAGAATTTTATTCTCCGTTTTACTAACTAGAATTACTTACATTCACATTGTAATAAATCCAAATTTAGTTGATTCAAAGCTCCCATTGATATTTGTTTGATATCTTCACTTAATAGTATGGTGAACATCGAATTTGCTATGTGATCGCATGCTGCTCTGCAAGCTACTTGAGCTACTTCAGGCTAAAACGGAAATTCAAATGATATAATCCAACTAAACATGATGGTATATTTCTATATTCAATCCGAATACATTGACCCTTACAGTAAAATAAATCTAAAAATTATCTCCGTTCAAGGGAAATATAGAATTGAATATAAAAAAAGTAATTTTCTTCGAGCCGTGACAGCCCAGTCTCCCGCTGCACCAGTACTCTTCCATCTCACTTTCTCTCTCGCCAATTGTACAATACAATAAACCCTTTCATGTATTATATACTTTTGAATTCTGATTTCAAAATATTCAAATCTCAATTGCTTAGTAACTGTTGAGCAAATTGCGTTAAAACTTTCAGCATTTATAGGTCTTATTAAGCTCTAAGTGGCTTGTAATTTACACTATTCCCAGATTTACAGTTTTTGAGCAAATTGAGTTTATGACAAAATTGGGACTAAAAGTCAAATTTGAGGCTCAATTGCTCTAAAGCTATTCGAGGTATCGAACTCAATTTTGCACAGATTTATAGAGAATTTAAGGCCCTTTCCAATGATGAATAGTTTATTTCAATTTACTCAAAATTTACCAAAGATATGGGCAAAGTCAAAATTGAGCAAAACCAAAAAATAAAAAAATCGAATGTTTCATAAGGGTACCCCCTTTGAATTCTGATTTCAAAATATTCAAACCTCAAATGCTCGGTAACCGTTGAGCAAATTGTATTAAAATTTCCAGAATTTGTAGCTTTTTTATCAAGTTGTAAATGGCCTGTAATTAACAATATTTCCAGATTTCTAGTTTTTGAGGAAATTGAGTTTGATGTTTTTGACAAAATTTGGACTAAAGGTCAACTTTGAGGCTCAATTGCTCAAAAACTATTCGAGCTATCGAGCTCAATTTTGCACAGATTTATAGAGAATTTAAACCTTTTTCAAATGATGTATAACTTATTTCAATTTGCTCAAAATTTACCAAAGATATGGGCAATTGTTCATGACCATGTCAAGATTTTGAAAATTTTCTAGAGCCAAAAATAGGATTTCATTTTTATTCTTGTGTCTGCTTAAAATGGCCATTTGGAATTGATATCAGGGTTGTTTTCCACTACTTTTGACCCACTCTATCGATTCATAAAGTGAAAATTGAGCAAAACTGAAAAATAAAAAAATCGAATTTTTCATAATATTCCTTTGAATTCTGATTTCAAAATATTCAAACCTCAATTGCTCAGTAACCGTTGAGCAAATTGCATTTAAAGTTTCCAAAATTTGTAGCTTTTATCAAGTTCTAAATGTTCTGTAATTTACAATATTTCAAGATTTCTAGTTTTTGAGCAAATTGAGTTTGAAGTTTTTGACAAAATTTGGACTAAAAGTCAACTTTGAGGCTCAATTGCTCAAAAACTATTCGAGCTATCGAGCTCAATTTTGCACAGATTTATAGAGAATTTAAACCTTTTTCAAATGATGTATAACTTATTTCAATTTGCTCGAAATTTACCAAAGATATGGGCAATTGTTCATGACCATGTCAAGATTTTGAAAATTTTCTAGAGCCAAAAATAGGATTTCATTTTTATTCTTGTGTCTGCTTAAAATGGCCATTTGGAATTGATATCAGGGTTGTTTTCCACTAATTTTGACCCGCTCTATCGATTCATAAAATCAAAATTGAGCAAAACTAAAAAATAAAAAAATCGAATTTTTCATAACGGTATCCCCTTTGAATTCTGATTTCAAAATATTCAAACCTCAATTGCTCGGTAACCGTTGAGAAAATTGCATTAAAGTTTTCAAAATTTGTAGCTTTTATCAAGTTCTAAATGTTCTGTAATTTACAATATTTCAAGATTTCTAGTTTTTGAGCAAATTGAGTTTGAAGTTTTTGACAAAATTTGGACTAAAAGTCAACTTTGAGGCTCAATTGCTCAAAAACTATCCAAGCTATCGAGCTCAATTTTGCACAGATTTATAGAGAATTTGAACCTTTTTCAAACGATGTATAACTTATTTCAATTTGCTCAAAATTTACCAAAGATATGGGCAATTGTTCATGACCATGTCAAGAATTTGAAAATTTTCTAGAGCCAAAAATAGGATTTCATTTTTATTCTTGTGTCTGCTTAAAATGGCCATTTGGAATTGATATCAGGGTTGTTTTCCACTACTTTTGACCCACTCTATCGATTCATAAAGTGAAAATTGAGCAAAACTGAAAAATAAAAAAATCGAATTTTTCATAATATTCCTTTGAATTCTGATTTCAAAATATTCAAACCTCAATTGCTCAGTAACCGTTGAGCAAATTGCATTAAAGTTTCCAAAATTTGTAGCTTTTATCAAGTTCTAAATGTTCTGTAATTTACAATATTTCAAGATTTCTAGTTTTTGAGCAAATTGAGTTTGAAGTTTTTGACAAAATTTGGACTAAAAGTCAACTTTGAGGCTCAATTGCTCAAAAACTATTCGAGCTATCGAGCTCAATTTTGCACAGATTTATAGAGAATTTGAACCTTTTTCAAATGATGTATAATTTATTTCAATTTGCTCAAAATTTACCAAAGATATGGGCAATTGTTCATGACCATGTCAAGATTTTGAAAATTTTCTAGAGCCAAAAATAGGATGTCATTTTTATTCTTGTGTCTGCTTAAAATGGCCATTTGGAATTGATATCAGGGTTGTTTTCCACTAATTTTGACCCGCTCATCGATTCATAAAATCAAAATTGAGCAAAACTGAAAAATAAAAAAATCGAATTTTTCATAATATTCCTTTGAATTCTGATTTCAAAATATTCAAACCTCAATTGCTCGGTAACCGTTGCGCAAATTGCATTAAAATTTCCAGAATTTGTAACTTTTATCAAGTTCTAAATGGTCTGTAATTTACAATATTTCAAGATTTCTAGTTTTTGATCAAATTGAGTTTGAAGTTTTTGACAAAATTTGGACTAAAAGTCAACTTTGAGGCTCAATTGCTCAAAAACTATTCGAGCTATCGAGCTCAATTTTGCACAGATTTATAGAGAATTTAAACCTTTTTCAAATGATGTATAATTTATTTCAATTTGCTCGAAATTTACCAAAGATATGGCCAATTGTTCATGACCATGTCAAGATTTTGAAAATTTTCTAGAGCCAAAAATAGGATTTCATTTTTATTCTTGTGTCTGCTGAAAATGGCCATTTGGAATTGATATCAGGGTTGTTTTCCAGTAATTTTGACCCGCTCTATCGATTCATAAAATCAAAATTGAGCAAAACTAAAAAATAAAAAAATAGAATTTTTCATAACGGTACCCCCTTTGAATTCTGATTTCAAAATATTCAAACCTCAATTGCTCGGTAACCGTTGAGCAAATTGCATTAAAGTTTCCAAAATTTGTAGCTTATATCAAGTTCTAAATGGCCTGTAATTAACAATATTTCCAGATTTCTAGTTTTTGAGGAAATTGAGTTTGATGTTTTTGACAAAATTTGGACTAAAGGTCAACTTTGAGGCTCAATTGCTCAAAAACTATCCAAGCTATCGATTTTGCACAGATCTATAGAGAATTTAAGGCCCGTTCCAATGATGTATAGTTTATTTCAATTTGCTCAAAATTTAACAACGATATGGGCAATTGTTCGAGACCATGTCAGGATTTTGAAAATTTTGCAGAGCCAAAAATAGGATTTTCTCTTTATTTTTGTGTCTGCTTAAAATGACCATTTGGAATTGATAGGGTTTTTTTACACTAATTTTGACCCGCTCTATCGATTCATAAAGTCAAAATTGAACAAAACTAAAAAATTAAAAAAAATCGAATTTTTCATAAGGGTCCCGATTTCAAAATATTCAAACCTCAATTGCTCGGTAACCGTTGAGCAAATTGTATTAAAATTTCCAGAATTTGTAGCTTTTATCAAGTTCTAAATGGCCTGTAATTAACAATATTTCCAGATTTCTAGTTTTTGAGGAAATTGAGTTTGATGTTTTTGACAAAATTTGGACTAAAGGTCAACTTTGAGGCTCAATTGCTCAAAAACTATCCAAGCTATCGATTTTGCACAGATCTATAGAGAATTTAAGGCCCGTTCCAATGATGTATAGTTTATTTCAATTTGCTCAAAATTTAACAACGATATGGGCAATTGTTCGAGACCATGTCAGGATTTTGAAAACTTTCCAGAGCCAAAAATAGGATTTTCTTTTTATTTTTGTGTCTGCTTAAAATGGCTATTTGGAATTGATATCAGAGTTGTTTTGCACTAATTTTGACCCGCTTTTTCGATTAATCATAAATTAATATTCTATACGCCCACAAAACTCAAAATATATTAAAAGGAGCACTCTACTATATAAGTTTTCGTTTGATTTACCCTGAGAAGTTCAACTTACTGGCAAATCTGTAAAACTATGAAACGTCGTCTGCAAAAACGCAATAATATCGGAAATAAAACTGGAAGCGTGCCCTTTGGGTTCGACCAAATTCCAATCGTAGCTTTCCAGCTCGAGAAACTCGTTGAGTTTCTGCTTGAGTTTTTCGCAAATTTGCCTGACAGCGTCCTCCCTTGCCACACGAAACATCGCATGTTCAGATGTAATATTCCTGGTTTCTTCGCCAGTTACGTTCGATATAAACTGATCCAGATAAATGTTTGCATCTTCCAAATAGCCAGTGTCTATGATAATTTGGGTAATTTTTTGCAAATTTATGTGAGGGCTTCTAAATGAGGACGAAAGACATCCGCTGAATGTCCTAGTCAAAAGCAAATTCATTGATTTCCTTATCATTTCATCGACTTCCACTTGACTTAGGTTTAAGTCTTCAGAAAACTTCAAACAAGCGTAAATAAACTCTTTAACTTGCTGATAAACTTTTGGCACCATACTGGAAAATGGGAAGCTATAAGGGAATTGAATATCATCAGGCAAGTCAACGTCCCAAGGAAAAGATTGCAAAATTTGCTCATATTCATCTTCGCCGTGAACAACTATAGGCTGAAAATCTTCTTTGGACAATATCTCTCTAAAAACTTGTACCCAACGTTGCATTAAAACTTCAGTATAATGATCTCGTAACTCTCTAACCAACTCCCATAGAGGCTTAACACTATAGCCATAATTCCTCAAAGTTGTACAAAATAGCATTATAAGATCTTTGATTTTTAGGACTAAAGTAGCATCAGTACAATAAGCAGAATGAGTTTGTAAGGCTGTTGTGATTTTAGACAAAGCTACAGACCACATTTCTTCAAGAAAAACTTTTGTAATCAAGCCTCTGCCTGTATTTAAAACATGATCTTCTAATATAAAGAAGCCTAATACTGCGTAAATATAGTTGCGATAGCTTTCTTCAGATTCGTGCATGTTTGTGGGTGGTTGCAGCACAAGCCTGGCTTGTTTGGTTCGTTCTGAACGGTAATATACTTCAAATGTCGTTACTTTTCCTAAAACTTCCGCAATATGCATGCCTCTGTATATAGGCGAAAAATCTATAAGCTCCTGAGCACTCAAATCCTCTTCCGAATAATTACTTCTGGGTTCCGAGTTCAGGAAATTCCTCTTCTTTTTTCTTCCTACAACTGTTGGATCACTTGCTAGTTGTTCACTAGTGTGTCTCATTGCCACTTCTCCAATTTTTGGTGAAAATTTACGGATATTTTCTAGAAAGTCTTTTAGGTCCATCATTGAGGCCGCTTCGATTTTGTCACGGTATTTTGGGATTTTTTGACGTAGTTGGTTAGAGAAACGATAATTGGCTACGTGAGGTAAGTGGATGTGTTCTAGTTCTTCTAGCGTTTTCAGAGCTGGATAATATCTGGAACAAATAAGAAGGGGTCAAAATTAATGGGGCCGGAATGGGAATAAATAAGAAAAAGCCATATGCGAATGTGGTTTTGCAAACGCTTCGCGTACCGGTAAAATATGTAAATGTTTAGCAGCTATTAGAAGTATCCTTTAATGCCAAAGTTTCGTGAAAGTTTCTTACTTTTGAGATTCAACAATTTCACCTGTTGAAGCATACAACTGTCAGTTTGTCATTTATATGTCTTCACATCATATTTATAAAAAATTCTCTCTGAAATAGAGTAATGCAACGTCCATTAGAACAAAAAATCGAAGCAATTCTAATATTTGGAGAAGCCCAGCGTGATTCGTATAAAGCTGCAAAAATGTTCAATAAGCGTTTCCCGAAACACCCAATTTGTGCCAAACATTTAACCAAACTCATAGCAGTTTTTCAAGACACTGGAGAAGTTGGTGCTTATAAGGACAACATACCAGATACTAAACATACATTGTAATAATTCAAGTGTTTATAATATAATTATTTGTTACCTTTTTTCTGAAATTTGCTTTTGCAATTTTGAATAAGAAACAAATACTGGTAAACATAGATTCATCTGGGCGATTACAACCGCAATGTTGCTTTGGACTTTTCTAGATTGTAACAGCTCTGAGCCTGATTTTGAGAGGGATTGGAAGGATTTTTGGAGTTGCTTGTCGACGCTGACAACTTGTTTCTGAAATAAAAAATAATTAGGCATTTTTGGGGATTATAATACACTCTTCAGCTTACATTTAAATTTTTTGATTGGGACCTAACTTCTAATAATTCAGTGACAGATTCGATAAATCCTTGATAATAAACGTTGCAAAGTCGTTCTATGTCTTTGTCATGATGTTTGATTCTTTCTTCTAGTTTTCTTTTGAAGTCTAGATGTTCATGATTATCAAAGATTGTTCTAAAAGGTATTTAATACAATTGGGTTAAAATATATTGTAAAAGCACATACCTAAAAGTGGGACCCCAATAATCATCTATGCCTTCTATTTCTTGCAAATACAGGTCATAGGAGGTTTTCTCGTTTGGGTCTGTTTCTATAGTAGATTGTTCCATTGCGTTTGAATACTGGAAGAAAATATTCGATTAATACAAAACTAAGATTTGAAACACATTTCTAACAAATCAAGAGCCAGTACTTGATTATTAAATTTTCAGCTATTGAGGGCCCCTAAAAACAATGTTCAACACCTCAGGAGCCGATAATAATTAAAATTTGGATCATAAATTAAATTTTGAACACTGGAAAAAATTCAGCACAAATAAATCCATGAAAAATAAGATTTGAATTTCAGTAGAGACCCGGATAACACGTCATCCATTACTCATTGGAATATTGCCGGGGCATTTTTTAATCCAAAGGGCATTCAAATAAATCCGTAATATCCATTTTCTAAATTAAAAGTTGTTTGGGGTGACTGAATTAGAATAAAAAATAAATAAATATGTATTGCTTCATATTGATTCTAGAAATTGTATTTTGAGTAATTCAGGAGCGTGTGAGAGTGAATATCCTCGTGAAAATCAGAAACGTGAAGACTGAAAATTATTGCTTTTAACTGTTCAAAGAAGTTCCGAGAAAAACTGCTATTCAAGAAAAGCTTTTGAGGACTGGAGCAGAATTTATTGATTATTTTGCTTCATTTTATTCTTGGAAAGTAAATTTTGAATGATTGAAGGCCTTTTACAGGAATTGATAGCTTCACATAGACTTTCAAAGAATTTCATTTTGCATAAGTAGTGTATATAAACTGAGACTAGAATATAAGAAGCGATTGTTACAAAATAGCTAATGTTACCTATATAGATGATAGATGCTACAATACCTGTTATTTTTGTTTTACCTTTAAAATGTTGGCCCAATGTGGGGCACAGATGGTTGAGTGGAAGAATGGCCATTGGCTAAACTTCGCCACCTGTGTTCTGTATGCGTGAATCATATATTATATTATATTATATATTATGAATGTATGAATATGCAAATAAAGACGTTTATTATTATTATTATTATTAGTGCAATCTCCAACTAAATGTTTAAAAAAAAAGATAAAGGATAATGCACACCTAACATGGGATTTTTGGGCTCTATGGATTTTGCCCATTTTTTGATATGTTGTAGAGGATTTAATTCTTAACAACCTTCAAATTGGAAAAATATTGACAGGTTCACATATTTTACGTCACTAACAAATGTCACCATAATGTTGACATTAATCTGTTATGGCCGTTTGCACCGACCATTTTAAGGAAGCCTTAGCGATAAGTATTCCTCAAAGTGACATTTCTTCATGTAAAAATGTCACGTTAAGGAATACTTAACGCTAAAGCTTCCTTAAAATGGTCGATGTAAACGGTCATAATGGCCGTAAAATATGTGGACCTGTCAATATTTTGATTGATAAACACCAGTAGCACCAGTATTTCCAACAAAAAGTTGTAAAAAAGTTCATTTTTCAAGGCTCATATCTCAAAGACCGTAACACCTATAGGTTTTTTACGTTATATTTAGGATGACGTCAGAGAACAAGGACTGAAAATGTTGTCAATGCGTATTTGTTTTCTTATAATTTACCAGAATGTCATAATGAATTATCAAGACCACTGACAGCTAAAAATAACGAAATGTATCGACACGCGTTATTTATTTGAAAATTTTCATTTAAATCATGTAACATCGCGCGCCGTTGCCAACCAGAAACAGATGAAATTCCCCTACATTAAATGCGTTAAGAAGTACTTTTAGTTTTGTTAGATTTGCAGCAGAAATTTAATAAATGTGACGTCATCCTAAATATAGCGTGAAAATCCTATACAAGATTTCGTCCCATTTAAAGGTTGTTAGGAATTGAATCCTCTACAACATATCAAAAAATGGGCAAAATCCATAGAGCCCAAAAATCCCATATTAGGTGTGCGTTATCCTGTCTGTCTGCTCCCTAAACTACCAAATTTACGAGCAAATTTGTATTGATATGCTGGAAAGGCTTGAAAGACAGCTACCACAGGAGAAGTCTTGGCATGTGCTTTTTGTAAAAAATACCCATTGTAATTTAATTCATGGTACCTGCAAGATATGCAAGACAGAATGAATTGTTCAATATAATAATATATCACATCACGGTACAAATAATAAACTTAGTACTAAATACCTACTTATCGGACAAAAGTAGAGTAGGTAACTCTATAATATAAAATAAAATATAAATCACAGTTATAGAAATTTAAACATTATCTTGAGAAGCCTGACATGGAAAATGATTCAAAATGGACCTATTTGACGTTGTGAATGCCTCGTTTTCATGGTGAGAGTTCGTATTTTATTATTTATGTTACTTAATTCTTTTACAATTTTTGATATAAATTTGCAGAATTGTATAAATTTCAAATTGCACTTCTAGATTCTGTCAGGAAAACCTATGGATAAAAATTTTAGGATCGGTTTATCAGTGGACGATTATTTAGTTTAGCTTTTGGTTAACTAATAATAATTATCATTATTCAACCGACAGCTAAGCGTTCACAGATAAACCGATCCTTAGACTGAAGCTTTTTAACGACTCCATTAAAATCGTGCTACTAGCCTGAAAAAGTCTCCAAAAAATCTAAGACTTGAGACAAATTCAGTTTTGAAATATTAAAAAAGAAATTTCTGAATCTTCTCGGAAAAACCAAGAAGAAATGTTCAAAACTACCATGTTCTGGATGGTAACATTTGAGATACCTATTTTGACAACATTATTGAAAAAATCCAGGAAAAAGCAATAGAAGAGTTGAAATATACAGCAATTCTCATTTAGTGATAATCTAATAGTCTACGATAGGCCTCAAATTGTCAAATTTGATGGAGCTAACTCTTAGAGCTATGTGGCCATGTAACGAGTACCTCAGGGAGCCGTTCTTGGACCCCTGCTCTTTGCGTTGTTTGTTAATGACACCTAATTATGTGGGTAGTTCAGAGTGCTCCCTATATGCAGGTGAACTAAAGATCCTCAAAATTATTAAAAAGGAAAATACTTCTACAGAGGGATGTAGATAAAATCCTAACTTTCTGTGAAGATAATAGGCTATCACTAAATATTGGTAAATGTAAATGTATAAGCTTCTGTTGTGGTCAAAATCCTATTTTAAATGACTATAAAATCTGCGATGCCAAACTACAAAGATCGAGTTTAAGAAATTCTAGATTCAGGTATATTATCATATCGAGAAACTTCATGCTGATGATATGAGAATGGTATTTGTGATAGAGAACCTGTAATTACTTTAAAAATTTAAACATTTTCTGCTTATTATACCTATAACTCATTAGTTCGATCAAAGCTAGAATATGCCACAGTAATCTAGAATCCTGTAACTTATGTCCATACAGACTTAATTGGAAAAGTTCAAAAAAAGTTTTTTAGGTATCTCTTTCATAAAAAACATGGTTCTTTTCCAAGCTTTCCACACCTTATTTCATATCAGACGCACTTAGGGGAATTAGATGTTACCATATATAAACTTCAATGTACCTGATGTAAAGTTAAGGCAAAGAAACCCTGCGTTTTTATTCTCATCAAATTTTACTGATGGATCCACCATTCTATGTCGGTCATTGTCATTTTCCATTCACTAAACAAAGATACCTAACTCATCGGTGAATCAACCGATGAGAATAAAAACGCAAAAGACTGGAGTTTATAGGGAATTTTATAATAATTTATATTAGTCGTTATTTGTAAAGTGTATTTGTATGCTACTATAGGTTTACTAAACTGTACTTTTTTTAAGGAAGTGAAATCTGTTATTTGTGCAGTATGAATGAAGTTTTATTATTATTATTATTTTAAATTATTACTATTATTATTCAGGATTTATATTGTTGTTAATGATACTGGCTGGTCTATTAATGAAGAATTTCAATAAAATAGAAGGCAATGTTAAGACATTTTGTCTGTAAAACGATGGTCTGCAAGACTCTCGTGCTCCAACCTTACAAATAGGTATAAAGATTTTTGTGAAGTTATAAATTCTCCCATATACAGATTAAACATTCCTTATATTTTTGTTCCATGAAAAGGTTCAAGAATAAATTAATTCATATCTTCAGTATGTAAGACTAATGATATTAGTAGTGAGTTATTGATTGATACACAGGGAGTGCCTCAAGGATTTGTTCTGGTTCCACTGCTATATTTACTATGTTTTAAACATAACAAAGCTCGCAAATTCACATGCCAAGTATTTCATGTTTGCTGATAATACAGCGTCAGTTTAGGTATAGAGCAAAAGATGAGAGTTGTGTAGGAAATGTAGTAAACAATGACCTGGAATTGGTTGTAATAATAAGTTGAAAATCAATAATCAATGTAAATGAAACCAAATTATATTATCTTCAGGCTTAAAAATAAAATCGTAAGTGAGTTGGATATTAAGATAGATCCTAATAAAAGTTTAGAGAAAGTTTTATTTATCAGATACCTTGGACTTGTTATGGATCAAATTTTAACTTGGACGCATCGTATTATTTTTAAAGTAATTAAAACATTAAACCAATGAATTCAATAATTTACAAGTGCAGAAACTTTCTTACACACAAAACAAAAACTCTGATACATTACTCATGTTTTGTCTCATATGAAGTATCTCCCTCGGTATCTCCTCCCTGTCTATGAAATATGGTATAAGACTTTTGCTCAGAATTTTTTTAATGACTTGCCTTGCAAATCTTTTGAAATAAGATTCTGAAAATTTTATTCAATTTTGATATTCTTACATCTGATGGATTGTATGAAGAATTAACGTTAGCAAGTTTGCCCAAAATATTGAAGTTAGATCGATGCAAGTTAGTCGCTTTAAATAATTGTAACTTTTTTCTATCATAGATAGAAAGCTAAAATTTTCAGAGATTCTTATCTCAGTAGAGAACTACAAACCTTGGAAATTTTAGCTCCTTTGGACTTATACTTTCAGAAATAAAATCGCGTTGAGCAATTCAGGGTAAATTTATCAATAATTACCTTTTTCTGAGTGCCTTTTTTTCATAGAATCCGGCTCCAAATCTCAGAATAATTTAGTGTATGGAGTTT